CCCCGCGCGCAGCCCCCGGCACCACGCGATCGCCAGCGGTTCTGCGGGACGCGCGCCCGGGGTCGTCGCACGCCGCGAAGCCAGCGGCACGAGAGCTGCAAAGCTCCTGCAAACCCTGCGAGTTTTGGGGTCCGACCCTGCGAGTTTTGGGGTCCAACCCCAACCCGCCCGGTTCTCCCCATTGGCGAGTCTTTCCCCCGCGCATCTTCAGCCATTGCCCTGGGATAATCCCCCACACGCAGCGAACGGGTAACAGCTCCCCCACGTTTCTTTTCTGCCCGAGCAGCTGTTTAAGTGTCTATTTTAAAACTCAGTTCCCTATTTTAAAATAGCTAACGCGACACCGATCTAGGCCGACAGACACGGTCTCTGCAAGGTCCAGGAGATGCTCGTCTGTTCGTTGGGCTCTTTTTCCCAAGCCCCAAATCTCAGCACGCCCGTCACGTTTCCAACGCGCGCAAACAGCTTACACGGTAAAGAGGGAAGTTTTTAATTTAAGGGCCGACTCCTGCACCCCTGCCGTGAAACACCAGCGCTACAGCCACGTGTTTCTAGACAGAGATGCATCAACCAGCCAGGCAGAGGCTGACGCTCTGGGTGGTTTTCGGCTGGGATTTTTTTTTTTCTTGTCCTCCCTTTGATTTTATCAGGTCTTTTTTAAAATTCCCCGACCAAGAGCTGGCCTACCCGGCACGGCTCCTCGCTGCTCTTCCCCCGAAAAGCTGGGCACGTACGAGAGGGACTTTCAGAAAGCAACTGCCCATGGCAGGGAGGGGCTGGAGGTCCCCGTGCATCCCCTTCACGTGCATCCCCTTCACCCCGCGGAGGGGACCAGGCACAGGTGATCCCACAGAGGTGACCCCCCAGACAGGACCCCGCTCGCTTACCTGACCACGGGCTCAGGGATGGCCTCGGCGCTCGCCGGCACCTGGACGCCCTTCTCCCACTCTTGCCTCCAGGGATCGGCCAGGACGTAGTACTCGTCGGGGCTCAGCTGGAAGGAGTCGGGGATCTTCATGGCTGTTATCAGATCCGTACGGAAAACCTGCATCGGGGATAAAAAAAAACAACAATCATCCATCCAACAGGCAGGGTGAAAGGGTCTGGCGGAGGCCGGGTGCACGCGCGCCCGGGGAGGGTGCCCCGGGGGAATCGGTCCCCGAGGGACAGCGCGGCGGGTGCCTGCGTCCCCAGTGGCATGGCTTCGAAGTGTCACTTTATGTCACTGGGCAGGAGAACAAGGTGTGCTGAGGCAGCGCTGAGAGCCCAAGCCCCCTGCGACCCCTCCGAGCTCCCCCAGCCCAGGCAGACGTGAAAGCCAGCCGCAGGCTGCACGCTCAGCCGAGAAACGGACCGAAAATTAGTATTAAACTAAAGAAACAACAGCCTGCTTTCTCCTAGGGCATGAATGTCTCCAACACAGCCACATGAGCATCTACCCAACGCCAAGGGATGTACCGCAAGTGGGCTTCTGCACGGCCAGCCTTACTGGGGGAAATGATGCTCTCGACATGAATTGGAGCTGTGGGAAACACAGAGCCACCTCATCGCCCCGAGCGCCTTCACGTCCCCATCACGTCACCTCATCGCTTCGAGCACCTTCACGTCCCCATCATCACGTCACCTCACTGCCCTGAGCGGGGACAGCCAAAAGCTGAAGGTCCCCCATCAGGGCTCGGTTGCTCCAGCAGTGGTTGCGCACCGAGGAGCAAACGGGAAAATAAAGGCAGGCTGGGCTATACTAGAGCTGGAAAATACCAGACTAAATGGTGATCTCGGTGCCTGCTTGCACATTCACAGCCAAACACCCGGAGATTTTTCCTGACCCAATAAACGTGCTGAGAGACCAACGCCGGACCCCCCCCTCTGTGAAAATGCCCCAGTCCCTCAGGCAGTGAATGCACTCGCTCTCCATCTCACTTCTGGCCCTGCAGAGTCTTCCCCCAATACATGACGATGAATAATGCATTCCAAAAAAATCCCCCGCGGTAAATAAGGTTTTCCTTCCAGAGGGTTGCCTGACAGCAATGACTCGAGCAATCCTGCCTCGCGCAGCATAAAAATAAATTGTAAATGAAAATGGATGATTTCTCCTCTCTACCATCTGCTATTAGCTGAGATAATAAGCGACGGTGCCAGCAATCACGCCTGGCCACCAGCTCGCTCCATCCCTGCCACTTCTGCGTTACCTTCTGCGGGGCCGGGATGGATCAGGTGTTTTCTTCAGACGCTGTTTAATCTGTGCCCAGAGTCTATTCGCCAAATGAGTATTGCTTTGTCAGAGCCGCAATAAATGATACAATATGGTTTTACACTTTTGATACAAAGATAACACGCTTTGGAGAGTATTTGGGAAACCAAATCGGCTGAGATGCAGGAAACTAGACATTAACTAAGACCACTGAGACCAGTATTTAGGTCAGTTTGTTTAATCCTCAGAGTCTCAGCTGGTAACCCAATTAGAGTTAAATACGATACACAAACAACCTTTTCTATGTTGGGACCACTCTGAATTGTACTGGTATCTTCCTCCCGATGCATCTGCTTGGAGACATTTTTGACTACATCTATATAAACCTGATTTGAGTTGGCCAGACACAGTTTTCAGCGCATTGTTCAATACACATAATTAACAGCCTACATATTACAGTCAGAATTAAGCTTAGTTTGAGAAAGATCAGGTTCCTTTAAGTCTCCGTGTGCTACAAATGCATGGTTCCGCACGCCGCAGTAGCCTTTTACTGTGTTGCCAGCACCAGGGCAGGAGTGTTGCAGCATGTCAACACCGCTCCATTTGCAAAACTGTCTTAGAAAACGCTGGTTAGGAGACACTCGCCTTTGGGATTCGTGGGCAAAGGCAGGTAGGAATGGTTTCCAAAGGTGCTGGGCACCCAACAGGTTTTCAAAACTCCCCAGACTGGACCCTGCTGACACCCAAGTGCCCTCCACCTCCTTCTCCGCCAACTCAGTTGCCTCCCGGGGACACCCACTTCAAAGCCGTGGCTGGACATGAGATCACAAGCATGGCATCACCATTTCACGGCAGGGCTTAGGTTGGAAGGGACCTTGAAGATCATTTCATTCCAACCCCCCCGCCCTGGGCAGGGACACCTCCCACCAGCCCAGGTTGCTCCAAGCCCCATCCAACCTGGCCTTGAACACCTCCAGGGATGGGGCAGCCACAGCTTCTCGGGGCAACCTGGGCCACTGCCTTACCACCCTCACAGTGAAAAATTTCTTCCTAATATCTAATCTAAATCCCCTCTCTTCCAGTTTGAAGCCATTCCCCCTCATCCTATCACTCCATGCCCTCATAAAAAGTCCCTCCCCAGCTCTCCTGGAGCCCCTTTAGGCACTGGAAGGGGCTCTGAGGTCTCCCCTTTTTTGCCTTCTCTTCTCCAGGCTGAACCCCCCCAACTCTCCCAGCCTGTCCTCCCAGCAGAGGGGCTCCAGCCCTCCCAGCATCTTCTTGTGCAAAGGCAGCACCAGGCGACAACCTGAGAGGTGATGGGCCACATCTCTTCGAGGTAACACCAGCGGTGGGTGGCCAGGGTGGATCTATGTCAATGTCTGGCCCATCACCTTCCTCCTACCGCTGAAGAGGGAGACAGAAGAGCCCGCACGACATGCTCCCTGTCGTGCAACCCCAGCAGCACCGCTGGGGAGCCCTGGTCCCCTCCAGCCCAGCCATCCACAGGCAGGAAATAAAACAGCTCCATCCGATCCTGGTGTCAGAAACTAAACACATTTTGCTTCGCTTACAGCTATTACTTTGATAATTTCTTCAGGCTGTTTGCTGGAGTCATGACTTCGGCAGTCCAGGCGCCCTGGCCAAGCACCCCACGCCGCTCCCTGCTGCTCCGAATCAGCCTCGCCGATGCTTCCCAACATCCTCAGCAGATGCAAAACCCTCCGGGCAAACCGCCGTGCGTACCTCGCAGCGCTGGAACACACAGCAACGGGATCAGCCCTCGGTATAATTTCTCCCCTCTGCATGGTGTGGATCCCAGGCTCATGTCTTCCCGCATTAACTCTTCCCCAAATTCATCCCTTCTGGCTTTTCAGCTCACATCAGCATAGAAGCTTAGTTTTAATTTTAAGCCAAATAAGCACGATTGTATCTATTTCCCTGAAGATGATAAGGCGCATCGCAGGCTGGATTTGCAATCTCACTACTTCATTTATTTAGTCCTTCTTGGAAAACAGATAAGCTCGCCCATCCAAAGGCAGCACACACGCCCGCGCTTTATCACAGCGATGCCTCTGTCTTTTCATGAAAAACTGGAAATGCTCAAATTATTAACTATCAAAGCAGAACACTTTAGAAATGATAGAACGGCACAGAAATTGTAAAGGAAAGCAGATCAGTTGTCTGGAAATCTCCCAACAGCTAATACGCTCAAATTGTAATCTAAATGTCTTTTTGTTTTGAATTGTCTGGGATTAGGGTTGGGAAAAGACTCAATTATTCTACTCAAACTCTTCTGAATTATTTATGAAAACCAAATAAAGGATAAATTGGGCACTGATGAACCGAGGACCTGGCGGTGAAGAGAAAGTTGGGTACCAGAAAACAAGCAATTTTCCCTCAATAGGAGTGTTTACTGTTTCTCCCCGGCCGCAGGAGCTGACGAATTGTCTCCGAGGCCAGGCTGCTCCGCTCCTCGCTCCCCCCCAGCCCTGGCCACGCTCCGTCCTCCCCTTCCAGCCCGGCAGCGGGACCCAGTTTATTGCCTATTGATCTGCCGGCGATGGGAAAGGCCAAACCGAGACGTTCACTTTATTACCTCCGCTTGCTGGGGAACCTCGGGCAGGTTTCAGCGATGCTCGGAGACGCACCGCACCGCTGCCGGGGGCCAGGCTCGCCCTTTGCTAGCGTCAGCTTTAGAGGTGGGGGGAAAAGAACGTGAAATTGCAAAATCCTGAGATATTTTTGCCTTCCTACTTCCAAGTGAAAGAAAACCAGGAGAAAGATGCATGGAGAAAACCTCCCTCTCGATCTCCGCTGATCCCGCAGCCGCGCGGGTGGGTGAAGAAGAGCGTTTCACAGCAGGACAGGGGGAGGAAAAGGCAAAAAGAAGGGAGGTGCACAACACTCCCCGGGAACTGCAGCAGGGAGGCGAATCCGGCAGCTCCTGCCAGGGGCTGCACCTCTTACTCCCCATTGCCAGCCCCGGGCACCCACAGCAGGACCACCCCTGCACCCCACCACAGGTCCTGCTGCACCCACCACCACCTGGACAACCAAGGCAGGACCACTTCTGCACCCACCACCACCTGGACAACCAAGGCAGGACCATCCCTGTACCCACCACAGGTCCTGCTGCACCCACACTGCCTACAGAGTAAGAGATAATAACACACAAAATGCAGGTGTCTGTGGATATTACAGTGATAGATAAAGAGTAAGAATTGATAAAAATCTTCCTGCAGACACCATTCCTTGGCACAAGTGTACCCAACAAGGCAGTAGCAGCAAACCATCAAGTAAGGTATGAAAGCAGCGACTGATGCAGCAACTTCATAGAATCACAGAATCATAGAATGGTTTAGGTTGGAAGGGACCCTGAAGGTCATCAAGTTCCAACCCCCGCCACGGACAGGGAGACCTCCCACCAGACCATGCTCCAAGCCCCATCCAACCTGACCTTGAACACCTCCAGGGATGGGGACTCCACAACTTTCCTGGGCAATTTGTTCTAGTGCCTCACCACCCTCATAGCGAAAAAAATTTTTCCTGGTATCTACTTTTAATCTCCCCTCTTCCAGCTTGAAGCCATTCCCTCTCGTCCTATCACTCCATGCCCTTGTAAAAAGTCCCTCTCCAGCCTTCTTGTAGGCCCTCTTCAGATACTGGAAGGCTGGTCCAGGGTCTCCCCGGAGCCTTCTCTTCTCCAGGCTGAACCTCCCCAACTCTCCCAGCCTGTCTTCATAGGAGAGGTGCTCCAGCCCTCGGATCATCTTCTATCACCTCCTCTGCCACTGCCGCTCCTAAAGCAGCACACTGGCCTCACATCTCGGCTTCCCAGATGGCCTTCCCTGCTC